CTGCTTGGTGTGGGTTCAAGCTGTTGGAGTTTTCCAGGTACCAGTAAAGGCGGTTGTTCACCATTCTTTCGGCAAGCTTACTGATACATGATGTTAGTGATATAGGTCGGTAGCTCTTCGCTCTCCAGGTGGTTTCCCCTTCTTTAGGAGCGGTATGATCTGGGCGATCTTCCATGCCTTTGATATTCCGCTCGTTCTCCACGTGGTATTTACTAAGCGGCGTATGACATCTTTTCCTTTATCACCAAGGTTGCACAGCATTTCGTTGTGTATTTTGTCTGGTCCTGGGGCTTTCTTTTGCTTTAATTTTTTTGAGGGCCCGTACAAGTTCCATCATGCTGAAATCCTCCTCAAAAAGGGTGTTGTTCACGGTAGGGGCTTTTTCTTCATGCTTAGCCTTGTAAAATCTATAATCCCTTTGGGGCTTTTTTGATACTTGAAACCTCTAAAGAGATATTGAGGATACCGTAATAGATATTGCTTGTCTCTGCTAATTTTCGCATTTTCACATCTAGTGAAGCACTCGAAACAGCATTTTTCGAAATTGGTGGGAGATATGTATAAAAAGCCTCTTTAAGAAAACAAAAAATTCATTTGTACATACTCTGGCCAAATATTTTTAAAATCCTTCACTTGAGTTTTAAGTGAGAGTCCAGGTCGCAACCCATACCCGTTAATCTTTGTCGTTTTGAGAAAACTTGAAAAAACGTACTGATTCTGTCATTACTTTCTAAACCAGAACAGGTAGGGGCGTGAATTAAATTGTGTAAAGAAAATTAACCATTTGTCAATGTACCCAATTCTTTTATATCTAATAGTAAGAAAAAAAAGTACCCAAAAATACAGCAAGAAGTGATGCAACAGAGAAGTCAATTTAGAGGTAGTTCCAACTGTAAAGAAGAAATTTAGGGAAATTTGTCAAAAACATGCCACTCCAAGTTGCCAAAAGAGAAAAGCACAACCATAAATTGGAGAAGGACTTCTTTATTCCTAATCTGTTCCTCGTCCTGGGCAGTAGAGA